TGTCTCCTAGTCGTTGCAATGACCATGTTGGCAAAATGACTTAAATAAATCCGGATGGTGACCGAAGTCATTAAATGTGGCCTGTATCACTCTGAGGCAGATGTGCCCTGCGCAGCTGGAGTGCAGTGGTGCTGCTGTGGCATCACAACATTACTGTGAGCAAGTCCTGCATTGTTGACTCTTCTCGTAGAAGACCAGAAGGCAATAGAAGGGGAAAAAAGGGTTTCTATTGCTTTTTGGTCTGGCAGAGCCTGCACAGGAGCAAAGGGGCTGGTGCAGGGGGTCATTTAGGGACAGAAATATGTTTCAGTTAGCTAGATAGCTCTGTTGTCTCAGAGAGACTCCCAAAGTGCCGGCTGCTCGCTCTGCAGCCCACCACTGGTGGCCCAATAGACTTGCCCAGCTTACCGTTGTCTCCAGAGGAACATCATCCCACCCAGTCTGGCACAATCCAACCCACCTGGCAGCCATCCTTGGAGGGACTCAGTGCCACAGTAGCACAGGCTGGGAAACGCTTGGCTTTGGCTGTGTTAGCAATGTGGGTTTGGGAAATGATGCCCAGCACTTGCCTACCCCACAGCAATCTACTGCCTGAGCCATTAGCATAGATGCATGAACAAGTACCAAATGCCTCCAGACTTTGAGAGAAATGGGTATCTTGCTGCTCTGTGGCTCTAGTTATCAAATACTTAGTTGAGATTGAATAGAATCATTAATTATCACCTGATGAAGTAAAAACCTCTCTAATTAGGGCTAAAAATTTGTTGCATTATAGCTGCTTTTCCCTAAAAATATACAAGTAAATTGTGCTCCTAAATAAGATTCGGTAAGTCGTGTTATGTTTGTATTTGAAAATCTTCATTCTAACTATGCCTTGACTTCAATGACTTTCTGCAGCCATACAAAGTAGGAAGTTGTGCTTTTCCTTCGTTCGTTTCATAGTTACACTCAGGAGCCCTTCTCTGAGCCATCATGTTTACATTTTCTTCCCCATCACTCTGTGGCCACCCAGAGCTCCCTAGCTGGGATCAGAGAAAACGAAGCATTTGTTTTTTTCAGCATGGTCATATTCAGTTGATATGATGCAACATCGTCCTCAGGATATAACGGTCAGTTTGACCTCTTTACAAACACCAGGCAAGTATGTGAGAAAACATTTTACAAGCCACAAGAGGATTCTTGGGGGCTCTCAGAGGAGCAGAAGAATTTTCCTTGGCTGGCAACAGCAAGGACTAGACTGTGCTGCTGACTGTAGCAATGTGTGAAGAAGAACCTTGTAAGCAGGAGAGGTCACTGTAGACTGGGCTCACTTACTGGTTTTCCACATCATTTTATTTCATTTCCTTTTATGTAAACTTCAAAGGTCTTTATTTAGGTTGCTGTTTCCTCTGTAGCCTTCATGCCACACCTCAATTTCACATCTGCAACCTTCAGACTTCAGTAGGGAGAATCCACTGTGGCTGGGGCTGTAAGCAAGGTCTCCTGGTTTCACAGGAGTTGAATCATCCCACATGGGCAGGGCATGGAAAGACACCATGTCATATTTCTTATTTTGATTGTGAGAGAAAAGGTATTTTTATGGCTTCCCATTGATTAATGGATGATTAATGGAAAAATATTTGCAAGGCTTGTGTGTATTTGAGTTATGATTCCTCATTTTAAATTGTATGAGATATTAAGAACTGCTGTACATCCATGGCAGAATCTGGTGATTGGGTAATTTTTCCTTGGGACACTGAGAATCAAGAAATAGGGAATGCTTTGAAGCACAAGAATTATTTCTTTTTAAAAAAAAACTTAGGTGTTCCTTCTGCTGGAGAAAAAAAGTTATTTCCCCCAGTACTCTTAGGATTTTATATTAAGAAGAAAATAATCAAACTCTCAAATCTAAGGTCACATCTTTTTGTATATGACACAGTATTTGCTTTGAATTAGAAACATTAACCTAAGTAAATTGTTTTTTCTTCTACAAAAAAATATTTTAAAGTTTGTTCTTTTTGCGATAGTAAAATTCCCAAAGAAATTTCATATCCTTTAAATATTTTTAATTGTGTGCCAGCTTCCTCTTACGACGTGTATGAACTCACTATGGAGAAGAAGAACAGTTCATTTGTTATTAACTTCTAAAAAATATATTAATAACACACCTTTGATATATTTCTAATAGTTTGGTAGTCTGGCTCACTGACAGATTAATAGATTAGGGTTATTGTTAATTTTATGTAAAAGACAATTTTACAGAATAAGGAAGTAAATGTGACCAATTTACCATTTCAGCCAAAATCGTAACAGTGATAGAAAAATACAGTACTATTAAAAAGAAAGATGGGTTCTGTTGTTACTTGGAGCCCCAGGACTGGTTCCTGGGCAGCCCTCTATCCTGCTGCACCCCAAACCCCAGTGGGACATGAGCAACGTGGACTGTAGCTGGCAACTGAGGAATAAAATAAAACTCCTCTTTTTTATTGTGGAGGTGTATGAGCAAAGTAGGTTTGTGTGTTTGTTCCTGTATCTTTCCTGGCTGTGTTAGAATAATTTTTTTTCACAAGGCTCTTGTGATTTAAATGAGCAAGGCTGTCATCTGCCACCTTGCAATTTCCTTGTCTCATACAAAAAACTTTCTGGCCTGAAAGATCTGTGTCCTGATGGGAAAACATGCTATTCCTGGGAAATGTGGCATTGATGTTGCTTAGTATAACAGAATAACACTGCCTAAAGTGACATCACTTCACCTCAGCTTTCCATGTTCAGAAAAAAACAGAAATTTCTCCAAGTCCTACTAGCAACCAAAAAGGAGCTTTCTGTAGGTATGTTTAACTTTTGTAGTGACCAGCACAACTCAGCCCAATCTTCCTTTTGCCCCAGCACTTGGTTAAAAATTGATTTCACATCTCATGGAGTTGTAACATTATCGTGAAGTAAAATCTCCTTTGAGGGTTGGATGGTGGCTGGTGATTTATTTCACAGATTAATAACAGAGTAAAATAGGAAAGGCGAGCAGGTGCCACAAATGCATCAGGACCCTCCAGCAGCTGTCATACAGATCACAGTGGTGGTGGTACATGGAGACTGGAAAGAGGCCGTGCTTTTACCACAGAAAACCTGGTGCTTTTGATGTTGGGAACATGAAATGGGGGGGGTGATGAAAAATTGTAGGTTTGTATGAAAGCTTAATTGGCCTTTGCCTTAAACCCTGAGTGCATCAGTGAAGTGAGGGGAAGATTTTTGCCCCTCATCCTTTTGCATTCCTTCCACAAATCAAATTTGAATGGAATTGCCACCTGATAGTTTAGATTAGTGCTGTCCTGGTTGTTTCAGTGATTCTGTGTCAGTTTAGCCTAAAAAGAAATAGTAAAAATCTCTCTTTGAGCTTCAGATCAGAGCCTTGAATGTCAAAATTCAGCTCTTGACCATAAATCTTCTGGTACATATTTAAAGCAAGCCCTTCTCAATATGCTTGAATATACTGGAGGGGAGCAGGGGAGATGGGTTCCTTGTATCCCAATTGTCAATTTTTATGTTGTTTTCTTTGATGGTTCCTCACCATGTGATTTATTTCCCAGCCCAGCATTTTCTGCCATGCTTATGTTAGTTAGAGATGTCTCTGCTTATTGTAGGGGCATTGAACTAGGTGGCCTTTAGAGGTCTTTTCCAACCCAATTCATTCTATGATTCTATGATTATATATAATATGATTTGCATAAGTGTAAAACAGAGGATGAAAGAGGAATGTACTTTAGAAGGTTTACAGGTCCACATCTGACGCTTATAAAGTTAGGCATGAGGGCTGAAGTTCTGGGAAGAGCTTTTCTCCACTGAGGTCTCAAAAGCAGATGCTGCAGCTGGAGGCCTGTACCCCACTGGACACTGTTCCAGGAGAGCAGAGGATGTTGTCCATGTCCACCACAGTGCCAAGCACTTCTGTCTTGCTGAGGGCTTTGCCACTGAGGTGGTCTCTGTTGCATTTTACTTAATTAAGTACAGATTTGATTGGTCATTGGTTTGATAATGATGTGTACCAAGAATTGATGTGTAGGGAGCTTGTTGCATTATAAAAGCACATATTTAAATAAGAATGAAGATTGGTTTTGCAAAGGTGAGATCTCTTCATCTTTACTTACGTTATCTTGTACTTCTTTGTTTTGCCCTACACATCTCTTTGGAGTGAGTGTGTCTCACTGCAGAGTAAGGGTCTGTTAGACTAGGTAAGGGTAGTGGAATTCAGTCTAGCTTGCAGTTGTGTTTATTATTGCACTAGAGTAAAGCTAGAAGTGGAATAGAGTTCCTTAGGGTTCTGTAGCTGCACATAGTCTTTGAAAAATGGTATATAGTTCCTAATTAGATGAATGATAAATAAGGAAAATGATAAATACTTTCTAATAAGCAGTTTTCTCAGTTGAGGGTTTATATAGTAGGCTTAATTCTGAACATCTGAGGAATGTATAGAATTGTAATCAAAAGTGATGTATGTTTTTATATCAAGAGTAAGCTGTGTGAATTACAGCTCACATTTGTTAATTCCAGTCATTGAATGATGCAAAATAAATAAGTAAAGTAATTGTTGTCTCAATTTGATTGATTCTGGCTACTTCAGGTTTCCCACAGGGTCTATTTAGAAGAACGAAGAGCCTGAAAATAATCTGAATGTTTTAAATATAACTCAATATGAAAGCTGATCCATGTGTCCCACTTTGAATCATGCAGTAATCTCAATATAACAATTGTGTTATTGTAGCAAGAAAAAAAAAAGTATTTGGAGTATTCTAGGGCAAAAATAACTTTTTTTTTTTTTTCCTCCTGAAGCTTTCTAATGAAATTTAGAAGTCGATAAATTGACTGGTAGAAGATTTTTGAGGTATTTGTTATAGCCTCAGCACAATTCTTTAGCTCTCAGTTGACTATAAAGTATGAGATTAAAAAACATTTGTTAATAAATAAAGAAAAATGCAGTATTCAACCTTGCTTTCTTTATTTTTTCTTCTCTCTTTCCTTCCCCACAGGACATTAATGTATGTATCCTTGAAAATTACCCTGAATGTTCCAATCCCAGGTTATTTTACATCATACCATATTTCTGTGGACAGCATCCAAGATGCAGGTAATTTGATGTACAAGAGATAAGTGTAGGCACAATGTAGTGCTATGTGTGGTGACTGCATGCATGTATTTTGGAGTAAGGAGGGTAACGTAAATGTGATACTGTTCTTTTTTCTTTATTTAATATTTGAATACTTCATCAAATCTGGATGCATTTATGTAGAATATTTTTTCTGGATTGTCAAAGTGAGAATGGCAGTGACCAAATGTGCTCATTACTCTTTTTACCTGCATTGTAGTTTAGTGATGTGTGTTCTAGCTCTGCTCAGATACTCATATCAGGTCTATAAAATTCTAACTCTCTATGTCCATGTAAGAAGTAATAATCATGCTTAAAACAGTGTAAACTGCAGCCTTTTACTACTGTAATTGAGCTAGCTCATTTTTAATGTGTCCATTTATGCAATTCACATATTACTGTACTGCTGATATGACATAGTAAACATTTATACAGTAATATGTGAATAATTTTAAATACCTTAATGTACTCAAATACTTCTGTGTTGTTGGTCACAGCATGTTCTTTATTAGGTTTGTTTCCTCTTGAGGTGTTCTATTTGTTGTTACCACTTCTCCACAGTGGAACAACTGCACACATTTTCAAAAATTTATTTCAAAAGCCATAACCTTTGGAGCAGTAATAACAAGTAAAAATGTGTTCCTTGTTATATGTCAGTTCCTAAGTATCTTTGCTGTAAAATCCTGCTTCATTTTTATGGCATAAATGAAGTTATGATTAAGAAGCAAAACAGATTCACTACTTCCTTTTCATTACACCTTTTTTTAATGCATTTTGGCCTCGTTTGCAAATGCTGCTGGTCGCACATTTAACATTATGTGCATGACTAATCCCATTAACAACAGTCATATACCTGAATCCTTTCACAATGTATCTCTATGAGGTTCACAAACACTATATTGAAGTGCTAATTTGTAGTTTGTTGAAGATCAGTCTCCTGTCATGCCCTTGTGCTTCCTTCAGCTATTTCTTAGTCTCACAAGGAGCTGCAAGTATTTGTTAGGACACTCTACTCTTCCAGAAAGTGGATCATTGCACAGAAAGTGGTACGGAATAGAAACACTGCTCCAAGTCTGCTCTAATAAGAATGTAAAGCAATAAGCTCTTCCACATCATCAAAAGAGCTTCTGACAAACATTGCAAAATTCACTATTGCATAGAGTGTTTAGTCGCCTAGTAGAGTCAGGGAAGAGATGTGACCTCCAGCCACTCTCAGGTAGCATATATGAGTCAGATGTTCATTATACCAGCTGGAACTTCCGAAAAAAAAAATTATCTTTAGTTTGGGACACTGGCAATATATCCCCTATCGATACAGAATCTGACTGCTGCTCCCAGGACATAACAGATATGAGTTAATCCAAGGGATCTGGGGTTTTTATGCATGTCTAACCAAATTGTGCTTCCAGGAAACTGAGAGAACCATAAAGACATACTGGTGTCCTGCCAGCTTCTCCCAGTTGGGGAAAAGATAGAATAACCCTAAGCTGATATTTAATACTAGTATCAGGGCAAACAAATGTGAATCCTGCAGCAGGGCCACAGGATAATCAGGGATAGTGGCAGGGAGAGGGAAATTCATGGAGACTTCGGCAGAAGTTAAAATTAAGGACAATTAAATTCTGGTAGCCTCCTGTATGGTATTCACTGGGTAACAGCAGGCAGTGGTTGCTCACAGCAGTTCTGATGTAGTTCAGGGACATAGCCACCCCTTAGCACCCTTCATCACCCAGGGAATTCATTCTTCCTGTGAGATGGGTCGTACTTCTGAATTTAAATACAGGAGGTTACAAGTCTGAGATTATAAACAACTTGGAGAAAGGTATCTTCGGAGTGGAGTGCTTCCATGCAGTGATTAACCTCCTTCTAATGTGACTGTGTTTTTACATGCTAAGCCAACTGTAGAGGTTGTGTGGAAAAGTTCAGTAACCCCCTCAGGTTTGGGGGGAGGGTGGGGGGTGCAGAGAGGTGTGTCTTGTGTTCTGTTAGAAGTACAGCACTGAATATTTTTTGTTTCAGTTGTGTTCTTGGCTTGAACTTCTGAAGCAAATGCATAATTAAACTTTTTTCTCTCTTCTCCCTCCATTAATTTCAAACAGGGAGCCTGGGGAGTGGGCCCTTGAAAGAGCAAAGCTGAACGTTAATGAAAATTTTCTGCTTGTGGGCATTCTGGAGGAGTTGGAGGATGTGCTGCTTTTACTCGAAAGATTCTTACCTCATTATTTCAAGGATGTGCTTAGCATCTACAAAAATCCAGGTAACATTTTCTATTAAAAAGCTATTCTTACAGAAGCTTTGGCGAAACATGTATGGCTATTGAAAGGTACGTGATTATGCCTTCTTTAGTCAATCAAGAGATATATTTCCTTTTTAGGGAACAGATTTGATTGATGGGGAAGGGTACACAACTCTGCTTTTATTCTTAATGTTACTGTGTGATTTTCATTCCTGAAAACCAAGCACTTGGTTCTCCAGTGATCTCGCCACATGCCAGAAAGCTTCCCATTTACCACTGGAGTTGCTTTTTCTTCTTCTAATTCTGTCATACTCAGGTCTCAAACAATACTGTCAAAATATTCCCAAAATGGTGTCAGCAATACCTGCCTAGGTAAACTTTCAAGAAATGGTTTGAGGAGCTGGGGACTTCAGAGATTCTCCAGCACCAAGAGGCTTATTTTCCCTCAAACTTGACCAAGAGCTGAAATGAAATGAACCTTCAGTTAAACTGAGTTGAGGTAACATGCAAATAAGAACGCATATTTACAACACTTTTAAGTACAAAACACATTTAGGAAAAAGTCTTAGGAGACTTGCATAGAGAAATTAAACCAGAGCACTTAACCTACCCTTTAACTAGCACCCCACAGTCAATCTGAAAGGGCTCTCTCTTCTCTGTGTCAGTCCATCCCTCCCAATGCTTATTTTTTGCTGACTTCTAAAGAAGTCAGTCTTTTCATCAGGGTGCCATAGCAATTGTCATGTATGAAATAAGAAATCTCACAGGATCATTAAGTGCTGCATGATCTTTCTCTTCTCTGTGTACATTCTAGTATCTGGGGGAGATTTGATCCCCTATTTCAGGATAGTGATTTCCTCTGGGATTTCATGTGTAAGACTGGTCTGGTGTCATGTCTAAAGAGTCACCTCTTTCCTTCAGTGTTCCCCATGCAGATTAAACTTTTATTTTTCCCGTTCACTTATTGACAAGAAATAATGGAAACAGTTTCCTTGCATTAACTCTCTCCTCCTCTTTTCATACATGCATATATTTGGATTTTTTTTTCTAATCATAATTATTTTCAGATTATTTCTGCTTACAAAACAGAACCAGCCAGAAAGAAAGAAAAAAGTCCAAGTGCTGTGCAGGAAATGGTGCATCATTCTCCTCAGGGCACATTAGACCTGATCTGCAACACCCTCTGCTGTTGCCTAATGAAGCGTTGGGAAGAAGAGAGCAGTGGTGAACCCACAAAGCAGCAAAGCAAAGACTTTGGGCCAAAACTGGCCTCTTGTTGCAACTAACACATTCAGGTTAAATCTGTACAATTTAGAGTTGTGTCTGGTAATCTGCTGCTCCAGCTGAGATAATCTTATGGGAGTTTTTCCTTTTTCCATATGAAGAAAGAAAAGCTTTTCTGGAACTTACCTTATATCAGTTGAATATGTTGAGATGAGAAAAACACAATGAACGACTTTGTACAGAGAGGTGATTCACTTCCAAGGTGGGTGAGTCCCTGCACAAGACTCCACTGCAATTAGTGTTTCTGGATGAGGCACAATTCAAAAACTGGATTTGTAGAGCTGCTTTCAATCAGCAAGTAACCGAGGAAGGGCAATTTCCATCTAGTGTTACTTTAGTGGATTACATAGATTAGAAAGCAAAGTAAGAAACTGGTGATTGCCATCCCACCAAGACCATAATTTAAACCAAATGAAAAGCCTCTTGATGCAGGAAGCAAACTGCTGCATACTATCAAACCCATGAAATCACATGTGTATTTAAGATATGTCTGTGGGAGTTCTGGGTTAAACCCCTTCTTCTGCCCAAAGTTGTGATGCTCCTCCCTCATTACAGGTGCTTTGGATGGTGGGCACCAGATCACTACAGCTCCCATCCAAGCAAACTTCTTATTATCAGGAGTCTTCAGTGTTGTTTGATGTGAATAGATATCAGGAAATCTGGAAACTTTTTCTCATCTCTGTTTCTTTTAACCATGCAAGCCATATTCAGGCTTCTTTGTTTCTCTGTCAATAGTAAAATTTCTCGTCTGAGACAGCAGGTAACAGCATTTATTAGAAGTCTTGCTCAGTGTCTTTCTCCTAGCTAGAAAACAAAGCCTGTAGCCTTTTTACCTTCAAATATAAGTTGCTGCTATTGTTCTGAAGCAGAAGATCAGTAAAACTGTGGCTCTATTGATCAGGTAGTGAGGCATTTCCATCAGAGAGCACAGAAATGTGAGTGCAGGTATCTGTCTGTATATGTAAAGACACAGGAAACTGCTTAATCCAACATGACTTGAGTGCTTTTGTCGGTGATGCTAATGATTTGTTTTACATAAGCTGTCAGAAGGAAACTGTGAAGAAAGGTGAAATATAAAAAAAAAATTTGAAAGAGTGAAACACGGTTGAGTTGTTCAGACATTATCACTAACAGTTGGTTATTGAGGTTTTTAATATATCCTGCTTGCTGGCTGCTGTGTATCTGTTCTGTGCTGACTTTTTCTTTTCTTTTTGATGGCATCACATTTTGAAATGCACAGCAATTTTTCTCAAGTTTTCTAAGTTTAAAAAAGTTGGAAATTCTTCCTGACAGGATATTTTAGTGTCAGAGGACATTAGGAGGATAATTTTCTTCATTTCATTACTAAAATTTTTACCTTCAGCTAATCTATATGCCAGATATTTTAACTTGAATGTTTTGTAACAATGTGCAACAAAATGTAGCACTACAAAGGGCTTCCAAAGTTTTCATTGGAACCAAAGTGGTTTTATCTTGTAGAATACTTTAGAGCTACAGGCTTCCTGTTTTTCTCCTTTTCCACTCTCTCCTTCAAATAAAGTATTTTCTTAATGTTGGGATGAAGTCAAGAATTGCGAAAGGACTCTCTTTTTTGATGCCTGCCTTGTCCAAAGTGGCAAACTCTTCCTGTCCTGACAGCCAGAACTGCATTGACGAGAGATCAGAAGTTGGGAGGGGTTGGAGACAGCAGACAGATTGTGGAATAGATGGGTAAATGAGTAGAGGGGAAAAAAAAAAAATACTGTGTTTACTAGATTTCTTTGCTAACACAGTAAAATTTGCTCAAAAGTTCGTCTTTTTTCCCCAGTATTGAAGCAGGTTGAGTCCAATTGCAGAGCCTTGGACTGTTTTTGCTTCAGAATTTGGAGGAGTATTCTTAACTCTGAAATAACCGTAGCATAACTTTACATGTAGAATCTCTCTACACTCTCAGGAGCACAACTGAAGGAAAAATAATTGGTCAGTCTTGTTCATTTTTGCTGGCTATAGCTCACTTCCGTAGCCTGGCTGGTAGCCAGAAGGTGGAGAATACTTACACAGTTTCTTTTCAAATGGGCACATGTGGGTTTCATATCTTTGGTGTTATGAAGAAGCAGGAAGTACACACTATACACTGCAAAACATAGAATTTTCTTCTGCCTTGTCAGTTTCTGTGGCATGGGGTAAAAGTTAATAGCACCTAATATTAAAGAATAGGCAATAAAGTGGTTTTTATCACCTCAGAAATAGCCTATATCCTCTCACCTTTCTGCAAGAGTTCATAAATTTTCTTTGACACCAGAAAGCCTACAAAAGCACTTCTTCCCAATACCAGAAAAAAAAAAAAAATCTGTTTTCCCTGAAAGTTACATTTTGCATGGAGAGTGTGTACATCTTAGTCTAAAGCAAGAAGACTGACTTAAGCTTTTCAACCAGTGAAATTTATTAAGTGCAATGAAATTGCTTATGCTGTTAACTGAAGTAATATATATTGTTCAAGTAAACTGTAAAATGTACTTTTTTTTTAAAAAGCAATGAAAATGTGATTCTCTTTAAGAATTATCTTTAGGAATCACATTTACAGGGAATATTTTAAACTTGAATAGTAGTATTAACCCAGGTAATGTAAACCTGCTGATTTTTTAAGTCCATTTTGTTCATCTATGCTTGTAGCTCCGTCTTGACATTTTCTTTTCCCTAACTTCACCTTCTGTTTAAACCCAGTAAGGAGGGAGTGCTCCCATTTGACTTTATTGCAAGGCTGAGGTCCTATGGGGCAGATGAAGCCTTTTTTGATGGAGTTAGGAAAAGTGGGGCATCAACCCTGGAACCTTCATATTGTTCCTGGGCACAAAGTGGAAAAGAGCATTTTCCCACTCTGTTAGAATAAAAATCTTTGCAAGTGGAGAAGGCTGAGACAGACTTTTCCTTCTTTCCTTATCCCCCCTTCCAAACCATCACTTTGTTAGCAATGCTCCCCATAGTCTGATGAATACCTTTAGTACTAAATTCTTGTGGCAGCCTTTCTCACACTCTGTTCTTGGGCTGCTCTGGCAAGATGTGGATACTAGGCGTCATTGCTGAAAAAGTTGCAGTGATATGAAGAAAGCAAAGGGAGGGCAGGAAGGTCCCACTGTTCTTTTTCCCTCTGAGAAACTGGAATTGGATGCCTTTTCAAGCACAACGTCCAAGAGTAAAAACTTTGAGTAAGAAATGTTGAAAGAAATCTGATGGAAGGCAGCGGTGTTTTTTATGTACTTTATTTAAATTACAATCATCTTATATTTTGCCTTTGTTCAGCACTAAATGAGCGGAAAGAAAAAGTTAGGACAAGTAATCTGCAACTTCTCATAGTCTGCTTGCTTCTCATGAGCTGTGCTTTCGGGAGAAGGCTGTGGCTGGTATGTGGAAGGGGAATATATTGGCTCATCTCTTCTGCACAAATGCACAACCCTTCTCCTGTCTACAAGCATCTGCACTCTTGATGTGAGAATAAAAGCAGCATGGATTAGATTCAGTTTAAGTGCTGAGATTTTTTGCACCACTTCTTTGATTCTGCTACTTTCTTAGAACAGAATTTGGAAAAACTTTGAACACATTAAAAAGTTCAAAGTTCGGTGACTCCAAAAGCACTGTCTTTTTTTTGCTTCACACTCTAAAAGAGCTTTGTGCTATCCCTGAATAATAATCTAAGAAGGAATCACTATGTATTGAAATTTTCTGCAGACGGGGAAAATTATAAATTTCATGTGGAGGTA